CTCGATCGTCGTCGTCGTTGGAACGATTTTCCCGCGCGCCGCTGTGGTTGTAGAAAATGTCGGCTCCCTCTGCAGGCGCAAAATGGAGAGCTCCGGCGCTCGCCGATGACGCGGGCTGCGCTGTGTGGAGACCTCTGGCCACGTGGTGTCCGCGTTTCCCGCCAACCGGAGGCGGACCCTCAAAAATGGCGCCAACTCCCAAACTTTTGGCGCGAAACGCCTTATGGCGGGAACCCTCCAGCCGCGCCGCCTCTTCCAACCCCGCAGGCGTTCCACCGGCCGCTGGAACGGAGATCTCCGCCAAGATCGCAGCGGCGGCGAGCAGCAACTCCGCCAGGCGGGAGTGTGCGTCCTGCAGGCTGGTGTCGGAGGCGGGCGGAGTATCGGCCATTTCCGCGAAGTGCTGCATCGGCGGCAACTCCTCGTCCTCTCCTCCCGAGGGTGGTGTCACCGGTACGTCGTCGTCTCCCCGGTCTTGCACGTGGGAACGAGAAGTCTTCCTTGTGTCCATTCTCCTTGAAGACAGGTTTACTTCTGACGCCAGTTGTAAAGTAGTAACTCGGCAGGAGACGACTTCACGGGTAGCACACTCTTTATTTTCACCAACTTGTAGTTACACGGATGACTAACACCCTACTTCGTTACACGGGTGACCAACACCCACTTTAGCTACACGGGTGACGGACACCCACTCAGCTACAACTTCGTTACACGGGTGACCAACACCCACTTAGCTACACGGGTGACCAACACCCACTCAGCTACACGGGTGACCAACACCCACTCAGCTACACGGGTGACCAACACCCACTCAGCTACACGGGTGACTAACACCCACTCAGCTACACGGGTGACCAACACCCACTCAGCTACACGGGTGACTAACACCCACTCAGCTACACGGGTGACCCACACCCACTCAGCTGTACTGACACGGGCTCTTACGCCCCGTAGCCTTCCGGGACACACCCAGCCGGGGTGCCCGTCTCGGCTCTGGGTACCACCGTCCCGACCCACACGGGCGTCGGACTACGGTCCCCCCAGTCTCGGCTCCGAGCCACACAGGGCCCCGGTCCCCACAAGGACGGTGGGACTAGGGGTCTCGGGCCCCTACCTCCTCCACCCCGTCTTCGGTCTTCAACTGGTTAACACTGACCACGAGTGCTCTCGCGCGTCCCCCTTTATACCCCTCCTGCGGACGTCGCTGAGAGTACCCACTTATCTGACCAATCACTGCACACTCACTACGATCCTCTTTTCCCAGCTTGTGTGAGCGCGCCTCACCACCAGCGCGCGCGTCCATGCCACGCCCACATCGCGTGCCCAACCCCGCGCCCCGTGATCCATCACTGCCGGCGCACGTCAATACCACCACTACATATATAAAGGTTCAACCCGAGCTACAAGTGTTCTGATATTTGCATTTCCTTTGTACTGTTCGCCTTTTGACATTATCTGGTATAACATTGGTGGTAAGACAAGATCATGAAGAAGGCTGTCTCTGGTGTAGGCCAATCAGTTTAAAAAACAATGCCTACATTATAAGAGGATACTTGCTTGTGTAGTGGGTTCTACTGAGGCGCACACTCGAACTTGGAGGCAACAGGTTTATTACAACACCCGAACAGGGTAACTACATAACGTACACTGGTTCTACATCTAGGTGATAACTACGCGGTTAACTAGATCACAACTGGCTAACTACATAACCGGGTCAGTCAGTAACACACTGCCTGACCCACGATGCCGAGCGTAAAGACCAAAGACCGAGGACCGAGGATCGAAGAGACGTAGCACCAACAGGTTCCATTTCAACAGAAAGCCCATAACCCTCTCGGGACTGCCCCTTTATGCTCCTGAGTGTGGCCTGGCTCTGCCCTCAGCCATGCCCCCTTCTAGATCCTACTAGAAGGCTCTGGCCTATATCACGTGTCCCTCGAGCACCTTTTTGGGCCCCCTTGCTACCATGCCCCGGTCACGTGCCCTCTCGGGTTCACGCAGAGTATCACGTCCTCACTTTCTCTCTCTCCGACCCTCACCAGAACTATGCCCTCTAGGGCCCGCTTCCATGCCATATCCACTGGTGCAGGAAAGAGACTCAAGACATACAGTTCCACTCTTTTGACAGTAGCTGGCGCTAAACACCATAGTGAATCACAGACCACTCACGTTAGGATCGCGCACCTGTATTATACACGTAGTGAACGCGCGCGCACACACGCATACAGCTCCACACGCGATACCCACTCTTGCGCCGCTCTGCGCAGCGCTCGCCGCCTGCTGGCCGCTCACGTTATGATCGCGCACTTGGGGTACGCCGATTACGCACGCCGCGAGCTTACGCATACACAGTACCACACGCGTTCACACTTATAATACGAGATCACACGAGGCCACGATCAGCTGTTAATGATTTATTGTCTGCTACCCGGGACTGGTTGTTGAGTCAGTATGAATCGACGAGGCTGCCTACTCTACCATCCCGGGACCTATTCCCTATTTATCGTTCACGAGATACTTTTACCTTCTTACTCACGGTTTGAGGCACTCGACGTTCCGTGGATTTTCCTTGCTGCTTGCCTCGACACGTCGCACGGACGTCCGGAGGGCAGAGCTGGGGGCCGTCTTGGACGCTGGCTTCTCGGAGTAAGAGAGAGCTCTACCTCGCTACGCTCCATTTTATCCTAATTCCCCGGACTCAGGCCCCTACCCCCTTCCCACGTACCGTGGGCCTTCGATATGCTAATCGGATGTTCCGCAAGTTAATTCCTTTCTCACGCATGCCTTTGTTATTGCAGATTATGCGGCGGCGTCCATTACAAAGGTGCGCCGTGGGAATTTGTGCACTGCTGCCCGCGTGACCCCGCTCTCCAGGTTATTTCTACTAATAGCCTTATCCTTTAACTCCCCTAACAATGGTGCCTGCGTGCCCGAGCGTAATTATGCCGTCCCTCCGCTGCCTGTGCGGGGGTGCCTGATTATGCAGTTCAGATGCGCTGCGTGTTTTCTAATGATGCTCCTCCATCACAATGCTTATTCCCTCTGCCTGCCCCGTCGATACTGGTGTGTGCGGGGTGTGTGGGATGCGTTTCACCCGCGGTGGCCGAGTGGCCCCTCGCTGCGACCTTGCAATCTTAAGGCCGGTCGCAGCGCTGCGGTGCAAAGTAGCGTCGGGGGAGGTCTTCCAATTCCCTAGTCGCCGGAAACCATGAAAGTTTAATCCCGATAAGGGCTTCTCGGATAAAAACCGGTCGGCCAGGTGACCTCCCCTCGGAGCTCTATGGGGGGGGGGGGGGAATGCGTGCGGGTGTGTTCATGTGAGGTGAGGTGAGGGGGACGCGGGGTCGGCTCCGTCGCTTGGTGGTGGCGAGGTCGTAGCTGGGGCGCCTGCTGAATGGCTTCGTGGCGGCGGCATCACATACGATCCATGCTGTATATTTGGAGTTTGCGTCTCTCTTTCTCCGTGGTCGCGTGGATTTTTTTTTCTCCAGGTCGTCCGGTTTTTCCCCCTCCACACTTAGAATCGACATCAACCACGTGTTGCGAATCTTTGGGCTGCTGTGTTTTCCACACGATGATATCAGCCACACTTCGTTGGGCTATCGTTTGTGATGACCTATTGGCTTCTAAAATAAGTCATATTTTAAAATACTTTTTTTAAAACACGCTTTAATGAAATGTACCGTACTAGTAATGGCAGGACTCCACGATTCCAGGAAGTGGCCCCGAAGCTTGCCACAACGTAAGGGACCGACGGACCGTGGTGATTAACAGCCAACGTGATTTGAGCGTGGACAATTAGAGCCAAGGCGAAACATAACATATAAAAAAGAATGTTTAATAATATATTTTATGATATAATATAGTATTGTCTTCAGTATGACATAAGTATACCAAGTTTGCAGTCGATACCACATTGGGAAGTGGGTTAAAATTGAGTTACAAGATTTGAGGATACGACATAGCCCACAGTGGGGTCTTATACCTGGAAACACAAGTTATATTTGTAAAGTGTGTTAAAGTATTTAATTTAGTTTTGAGGTAGCGCGTCTATGTTCCTCCTCATCCTTGTTGTTCTCTGTACCGTCACTGCAGATCGACAGAACCGAAGATAAGAAAAATAAAATGTATCCTACATTCAGCAGTGGATGTCTGTTGATCTTCACTATGCGCGTGCGTCTGCATCTCAGGTCAGACGCCGCCCCGTATGGGCTCGCTGTCGTCTTTCAAATGTGGAATTTACACAATCCCTTCGTGTGATGTTCTACCCCCCCAGCCCCGCCTGCACCTTCCTCGATGGCCACGTGATGTCCCCCCCCCTCCTCCCCCCTCCTCCCCCCTCCTCCACCCCCCCATGCCCCCTCCTCCACCCCCCATGCCCCCTTCTCCACCCCCCGCCACCTCCTCCTCTACCCTCCCCCAGGCCTCGTCACGAATCACTGAGAGCCAATGCACGAAGATGGGAGTTGTTGTGGTTAGTGCGTGTATGTGTTTGTGTCTTTGCGTTTCTGTGTCTTTGTGTTTCTCTATGTGTGTGTCTTTGTTTCCCTGTGTTTCTGTGTCTTTGTGTTTCTCTGTGTGTTTCTCTGTCTTTGTGTTTGTGTTTCTCTGTGTGTTTTTGTCTGTGCTTCTCTATGTTTCTATGTATTTATGGTTCTCTATGTGCGTGTGTTTCTGTGCCTTTGTGTTTCTCTGTGTTTCTGTCTTCATATTTCTGTGTATTTGTGTTCCTGTGCGTGTGTTCCGTGTTTCTGTGTCTTTATATTTACGTGTGCATTTTCTGTATTTCTCTCTTTGTGTCTCTGTCATTGTGTTTATGTGTGTTTCTGACCTTATGTTTCTGTGTATTTGTGTTCCTGTGCGTGTCTGTATTCATATGCCTTAATGTTTGTGTGTGCCTGTCTCTGTGTGTGCGTGTGCTTCTGTGTGTTTAATTGGTATGTGGGGTAGCGGTCGTAAACATCACCACTGGAGAGACAACCTGTCCAACAGCCTGGACAGGTTATAAGGGGAATCTTTGTTAATATATTAACTTCGATGTATGTGTGTCCGCCTGCCTATTTGTTTCACGTCGATGTCCGTGTGTCCCCGAGTGCTTGTCTGTCAGTGTTTTACTATCATCGTCTCTCTGTGTCCTGTTGATTAATGCGTGTTCCTCCTACCCCTACACGGCTCAACCAGAAACCCCAACACTTTTGTCCTTCTCCGCGAGGGCTTCGATTAGAACGGGTGGAAACGTGCGGCGCGGACGATGTTCAACGTGCACCATGGCTGGTGGCACACACACCCGACACAACAGTCTTCAACAATGCCAGTCTTTATTTCCTGAGGCACGAGACGCACGCACGCGTCTTCTCACTTCACTCCAAGCCTGTTGAGATCTCTCGTTCTTCCCTCCCAACCCACCACCACATATATATATCCCCAAGCCCCCTTTCTTGAAGGTTCCTTGACCCACGTTTCCTCTACAGCCAATCACATTCTCACTTTCTCTTAATGGACCCCCCCCCAACCGACCTCCCCGTCAATCATCCCTCCGTTACCACGCCCCTTTTCCATTTTGTATGTCTCCCTCCAATCCCTTAAATGAACCTTATGGCGGGACCCTCGGGGTCCCCATAAGCCCCAGCTCTCGCATAAACTGCGTTGCAACGTCATTTTATGTCTGTTGAAGGGGAACGATACGGCAATCTATTCCTCTCGACTACGGAAAATTTTGGCAACGACGGGTGCTCGGTGAATGATCCGCATCAGGTGGGTCGCGGTGTTTATGTGCGCGGTGGGATGGAGTCGTCAAAATCTTGTATTAATTACGATTTAGATTTCCGTTTATTCTGGAAGCCGGGGTCCCGCCATAAGGTGCAAATGTCCCCCCCACCCCCGACTCTATCCGTGCCACCTGAGTGTCCACCACGTCAGGTGAGCATCGTCGGTAAGCGATGCAATCTCTACGTATTGTACGCATGCCATTGACTTAAAATGCGCACGACGGTCAGGTTGTATTGCACTTTTACCGTATCAACAACACGCATCTTCTTTACAACACTGGTAAATGCAACTAATCGAACATCCAGAGTTAGTGTGACTATTATTATACATATACACCAAAACCACAATGTCAGTTTACGACAATATTGAATTCTACAAACACATTCTTACGAGTGCATGCTTTAGAGACAGGCTGTCCAACAACAAAAAATCCTATTTGGAATAATAATAGGCTATACACTATCTGGCATTAAAACAGGTGTTAAGATGTTCAAACAACACACCTTTTGCAAGAAATCAAGTCTTCATTAACCACGCACAGAACTTGTTGCAAAACGTGCAACCAAACTTGCTCTGATAATGCACGCATTCTCTTTGAACCCGTTTGGCCTCCACCAGAGACGGCGTTCTTTATGACATTCTCACCCTACCAGTGTCAGACCAGAGAATAACGCCAAAGGGCGAACAGCGCAAAGGAAATGCAAATATCAGGGCACTTATAGCTCGGCAGTTAAAAAAAAGGTTCCATAGATATGATCCTTGTCATGTTTGTTGCAGCGTAGATTATGGTGAAGTTGATGGCGGTGTGATAGCGATGATGATGGCAATGTATGATGACAATAGTCTTTGCATAACATGCAATGAAACATGCTCTGCTAATTACGTATGCATTGCCTTTGAAACAGATTGGCCTAGACCAGATAAATACACTTTCTGTTATGGCCTTGTCTCACTACCAGTCTGAGACAAGAGAACGCCAAAATGTAAACGGTACAAAAACAATGCAAATATCAGTGTCACTCGGTGGTTAGAACGTTTGTTGCCATATTTTGCCACGGCATGAAGTGTGCTTGATGTAGATGTGGCCGGTCTGCCCCGTCTCTCCCCTCCCGTCATTAATCCTTGCGAGGGGGAGAGCAGGGCTCCACAGACTCAATGCCTTGCAATAATAGGTGTGTCCATTTGGCGTTTGAACACCTGAACACCACTCCTGTGCTACTGCGAGAAAGGGTGTAACGCCGATTATTTATTGAAAAAAAAAATGATCATCATCACCATCACACCTCGATGATCCCGGGTTTATTCCCCAATCAGACGCAGCATTCGATCTAGAGCGCCGATGCGCGGAGCCGCTCATCTGATATTAAGCTTTGAACGGGTGGAGAGCCCAAAATGGGCGAGACTGGACAATGAGACCCATCATCCTGGCTCTCTGGAGATCACATCTGCATGGTTTAAAACAACATGGAGTTGAAACTCGAACCAGTTGCGTGTTCAACCGTTGTATCATTCTAAGCGAAGGCGTAACGACATCATTATCAGCTCATGGGGGGGGGGGGGGGTGTTGCGGAAAACGGTCAGGTGGAGTTTCCCAATACAGTTGATCATCGATTTGCCGGCGTTCGATTATCCGGTTTCCAACATTATCCGGCGGTCCCAGCCCAATCCGGCAAAACCCGCTCCAAAAACCTGTAACGAGTCCAGCGATCGGGACCGTGTGCGTGTGACAAAAAAAGTAGCTACGCTTGAATCTTGACTTAAAGCTTTCGTGACTGCAGAAATTAATATTATTCGGGTCTTTTGGTAAAGTCACGTAGATAAGTTCAAATAAGATAACAAAAGAGTCTGCATTGAGCAGCTTTCCTCCTCTTTCCTCCTGATGATGATCGCTTGTGTTGTGATCGAAACGTTGTAGTTTATGTTACTTTTTGTTATCTTCTTTGAACCTATCTACGTGACTTTACTGAAATACCCAAGGAATATAGCTACGCTTGATTTCAGTGTTAAATATTACGTACAGTACATATAACAATTCTATATTTAAAGTTGCACATCTTGATGGGACGTCACATTTCTCAACCCCTCGTCACACATCGTCACAAATGTCTGACCCCCCCCCTAGGTGCGTGACGTCATTTATGGACGCCCCTTACGCTCACACGGTCTCGAACATTTAACGCTGTCGGGGGCCGCTCCTGTCTTTTCGCAAAAAATACAGCCACGAAAATAACAGCTCCTCTCAGTAGCTACGAACTTCTTTTGCAAATATTATGTTACTGTGCTCTTGATAAAAAAAAAACAATGCGGAACGTAAAATGAAATATTTTCATTAAAAAAATCTAACCGTGTTCTAAATGTGTTGTTGTTCTTTGGCACACTGTTCTTTTCGGGAACATATCTCATCGTGGTAGTTATTAAGGGGGTACCCACCTGTTCGTAGCTTTGGCCACCAGGGTGGTGCCAAAGCAACCCATTCACTCTTCTTAATCGTCGGTGTCTCCTGTTCAACCTCTACCATGGGTCTTTCCCCCCAATATTCTTGCACAGACCACCGGCTTCTGGATGTTGCCATTTTTATTTTTTTGCCAAATCTTGATGAAGCAGTACATTGTGTTTGTTGCAGGGGAAATTTTAGGAGATGATCCGTGTGGTTTGTAAGAAGCCCCACGATTTCCATGGGAAGAGTTGCATCTCTGCCGAAACCCAGAACCCACCGTCTTCAGTCTGTTTAGCCTCCACCATGTGCGAGCCATTTGGAATTGGAACCAGACACTTGATTTTTTCCCCCCATTCTTTTTTTCCACGGGGGAAGTTGTTCTGGCATCCTTCCGGTGACGTGGTGTCAGGGTGGTTACAGTGGAGCACAAGACGCTGTTTACTCGATGAGAGAAGGGTGGTGGTGCTCGCCGATGGTCACGTAACGGATGGCGGACGTCCCACTCTAGGACTATCCGGTCTCCTCTACTCCTCATGTTAAGGAGCTATATGCCACAGTGCAATATAGGCAGGGAACATGGGGTGGCACTTAGGCACACCCTGTTACGATTCTGCACGTATCATTTAAAATTGTGTTGTCGACATGTGTACTGTGGGTTGAGCATCCCCAGTTAGAGCGTGCACACTCAGCCACAGAGCGGATTAATGTGTTCCCCCCCCCCCCCCCACTTTTAATTTGTGAGCTTTCGCAGGATGTCGTCTTGTTTGTTTGCCTTGTCTTTGGTATTTAAAGTGTGCTCTCTGTAGCCAACTATATGCGATCCAGTGCGAATCGTATTCTAAGCGACCGCGTTAACCTTTTATTATTTGATGAATACCTCCCTCACGCCGCGTCAGCCGCCGGGAATTGTTTTACCATACTTCACCATGCTGGTCAAATGTAGGTTGTTGGTGATAGACAGACTTTGTTCTATGTTAAGCCTCCCACTATAAATGCGACAAATCACCCCCCACCGCCAGTCCAATGTCTATTAAGGTAGAGGTATATTTAAGTGCTCTAACCCCAAATATAAAAAAAAATACAAACTTTATTACGGATAATATTGGTCACGAAAGCCTACTACGACGTGTTAAACTGAGGTAGAGGTGTCTTGGCACTTCATCTACGACCAACAACCCGGCGAGCTCACGGACAAAAACACACCGGTGGTAGCGACTGTCTAAACCTGTCCTTGGGCCTCCCCTAGGTCGACTCGGCCTCAAATGAGTACCTGGTGCGGTGTGAAAAATAAATCATTGCCACCGGGGAGACAAAGGCGGTATGGCGTGGTAATGGCCAAATCACTCCCTTGTGTGCCACAGCGCCGGCATTCAATGGTGCTCGCTAACAGTACTTGCCCCAACAGTCTGTTTAGACTATACGGGGGATATTTGTTTTTTTGGTGATAGTGGTGGTGATGCTGCTTAGGTTATACACCTCCTGAACGTTCTGGCTATACCTGCAGACACATAGCTGTTGTATATTTAGTGTGTGTATGCGCGTCCGTGTATATCCAAGTGTAAGTCGATGTCTTTGTGTGTGTGGGTCAATGTCTGTGTGTGTAGGTCGATGTGTGTGTCTGTCTTTTTCGCCCGGGCAACGCCGGGTACTTACCGCTAGTATGGATATAATCTGTGTACGTGTGCACTTGGGTGAAAGTACATGTGTGTGTAGTTATCTGTGGCTCTTTCCATGTGTGTGTGTGTGTGCACATCTGTCTGTGTGTGTGGGGAGTGGTCGGGTAGTAGCGGTTAGTGCGCTGCACTACGAACCCGGCGACCAACACCAGTGATAGTCTTTATCTGAACCGGTCCTGGGCCTGCACTAGGTCGACTAGGCCTCAAATAAGTACCTGGTGTGGTGTGTAAAAAAATCATCACCACTCGCGGGACAAAAGGCGTGGTGCTGTCCAAACCGCCCCGTCTTGTGCCACAGTTTTGGCCTTCATTGGTGCTTGCTAACATCACTTTCCCCAACAGTCTGTTAAGACTACACGGGGGTCGTTGCCTTTGGTGATGCGAGATTACAGGCACCTTGCCGTTATCAGCAGGTTCACTTGGGTGAATAGAACGGTTATAGAGCCCCTGTGGGGTTGGCAAACAAGCCACGGATAAGAGCGAGCAGCACCTTGGACCTCGATCACGCGGCCAAATGTAGATATGAAAAAAATTATATAAACATTTCGAAACTGTATTTACGAGCCACGTGGGCTACAGGCGATTAGGTTGGCTACGTTCGGTGCGAAAAAAAGTCTACATACATACCTCCGATTAGCACGGTTCGCTATGTATGGTGCAAAAGAAGTTCAACATATATACATAGTCATACCTCGGTATACGACCACTTTGGAATACGTCGAATTTGGTATACGTCGTGTTTTGATGAGAAAAAAATGTCTTGGGATACGATGTCTTGCTTGGGATATGACGCGCTTGCTAGAACTTGTATGGGTCAGGATGAGTCACCGCGTACCTGCGTATGCCCCGTTCACGACTGAAAGAAAGCGTCGCTCCTCAGTCTGCCTGTAGATCTCGTTCAGTGCACAACTCTTGCTATAACTCTGTGAATTTCCACGTGTTTTTTTAGTCATTTTAACTCCTCTCAGCAAGGTAAAGTGACGTAAAATTTAATTTTTATTTCAATTTATTTTAATTTATTTATGCATTTATTTTAATTTATGTATGCATTTTAGTAATAAGTAGTGTCTAAATTATTTTATACAACCCCATTAATGTATAATATGACATATAAAATATAATTTCTTATACTCTGGAACAGATTCTTTCCTTTCCCTTTATTTCTTATGGGAAAAATTAGTTTGGTATACGTCATTTTCGGTATAAGTCCTACCTTCTGGAACGAATTAACGACGTTTACCGAGGTACCACTGTATTTCGACTAGCATGGTTGGCAATGTATGGTGTGAAAAAACTTCAACGTAACATACATTGCACAAGGCAATTTAGCACCGATGGCATTGCTGGAAGGGGCTTTGATAATTTCTCGACTTTATCGCAAATCTATATATATAAAATCGTGCATGTCTGTCTGTCTGTGTATGTGTGTGTGGATTTCGGACAATACGCACTTTCATTGGATGGCGGTTGCCCCTGGCAACGAGTAGCAACTTTTCGCCGCCGTGTGGACGCCATTTTTAATAGCGCGGGGGGGGGGGGACCGGCACCCGTACCCAGCGTTCGCCGGGTGGGAAAATCAGGCAAGGCGGGAGGCTCTGCACGGTGCTAGGCCTCGAGGGAGGCAGAGTGGCAAGGGAGGGAGAGTGGCGAGGGAGGGACTCAGCCTCAAAACGAGTAACTGGTGTGGCGTATTAACATCGCCACTGGGGAGACAAAGGCGGCCGAGCGTGGTGGATCCAAGTCCCGGGCAAAGCCGGGTCATGACTATGTGTGTATGTGTTTATGTGTATGTCTGTGTGTCTGTATTTATGTGTGTATGTATGTGTCTGTATGTGTTTGTGTGTATGTATGTGTGTGTCTGTATGTATGTGTGTATTGTGTATGTGTTTGTGTGTATGTATGTGTGTGTTTGTGTGTATGTGTATGTCTGTGTGTATGCATGTGTGTGTATGTGTGTGTATGTGTTTGTGTGTATGTGTGTGTATGTATGTGTGTGTATGTGTTTGTATGTGTTTGTGTGTTTACGCTCGCATTACACAAATGTGTTGCAGGTATAAGGCGTTCCTCGCGCAGCATTGCCGCTTTATTATTGCAGTCGTTTACTGCCGTACGCACCCTCAAAGTCGTGTGTGTCTGCAGCAAGCGCGTGTATGTGTACCTATGGACGCGCGCGCGCGTGTTGTGTAGGGGGAACGGTAGTGTAGTGCTTAGCGTGCTGTCTGTGTCTGTGTGTGTGTGTCTGTGTGTCTGTGTGTGTGTGTCTGTGTGTGTGTGTCTGTGTGTGTGTTTGTGCGTGTGTGTCTGTGTGTGTGCGTGTGTGGTGTGTGGGGAGCGGTAGTATAGTGGTTAGCGTGCTGTCTGTGTGTGTGTGTCTGTCTGTGTGTGTCTGTGTGTGTGTGTCTGTGTGTGTGTCTGTGCGTGTGTGGTGTGTGAGGAGCGGTGGGTGTAGTGGTTAACGCTATGCTGCGCTACCAACCCGGCGAACCGAGTTCGATTCCCGCTCACGGCCACCACCGGTGACGATTATTTTAACCTCCCCTAGGTCGACTCAGCCTCAAATGAGTAACTGCTGTGGCGTATTAACATCGCCACTGGGGAGACAAAGGCGGCCGGGCGGGGTGGATCCAAGTCTCGGGCGAAGCCGGGTCATGTGTATGTGTGTATGTGTTTATGTGTATGTCTGTGTGTCTGTATGTATGTGTGTATGTATGTGTGTGTATGTGTTTGTGTGTTTGTATGTGTGTGTGTATGTATGTGGGTTTTTTTGTATGTGTTTATGTGTATGTCTGCGTGTCTGTATGTATGTGTGTATGTACGTGTGTGTATGTGTTTGTGTGTATGTATGTGTGTGTATGTGTTTCTGTGTATGTATGTGTGTGTATGTATGTGTGTTATGTGTGTGTCTGTGTGTCTGCATGTATGTGTGTGTGTATTGTGTATGTGTTTGTGTGTATGTATGTGTGTGTATGTATGTGTGTGTATGTGTTTGTATGTGTTTGTGTGTTTACGCTCGCATTACACAAATGTGTTGCAGGTCTAAGGCGTTCCTCGCGCAGCATTGCCGCTTTATTATTGCAGTCGTTTACTGCCGTACGCACCCTGACAGTCGTGTGTGTCTGCAGCAAGCGCGTGTATGTGTACCTATGGACGCGCGCGCGTGTGTTGTGTAGGGGGAACGGTAGTGTAGTGCTTAGCGTGCTGTCTGTGTGTGTGTGTCTGTGTGTGTGTGTCTGTGTGTGTGTCTGTGTGTGTGCGTGTGTGGTGTGTGGGGAGCGGTAGTGTAGTGGTTAGCGTGCTGTCTGTGTGTCTGTGTGTCTATCTGTGTCTGTCTGTGTGTGTCTGCGTGTGTCTATGTGTGTGTGTCTGTGTGTGTGTCTGTGCGTCTGTGTGTGTGAGGAGTGGTGGGTGTAGTGGTTAACGCTACGCTGCGCTACCAACCCGGCGAACCGAGTGTGATTCCCGCTCATGGCCACCACCGGTCAAGATTATTTGAACCTCCCATAGGTCGACTCAGCCTCAAACGAGTAACTGGTGTGGCGTATTAACATCGCCACTGGGGAGACAAAGGCGGCCGGCCGTGGTGGATACAAGTCCCGGGCGAAGCCGGGTAGTACAGCTAGTAAAGTATAAAAACAAATATGCATATCTTACCGATAAAAGGCATTTTTGTCTGTCTGTCCGTCTGTCTGTCTGCGCACATGCACTTGCAAGGGATTTGGCTCTCAAACGGTGGGGTTTACGTAAAAAAAAACCTTTGCCAGCGACCACGCCGTAAGCCCCACGGTGGGCAAGCGCTATTCCGTTTTCCTGTCCGTTACCTTTAAAGGACAGTGTTTTTTGCGATTTATCTTTATTTAAATATTTATTTGTCAAATTATTTATTTACTTCCCTTCGCCGCTCGGGGAGTGCTAATGCAGCAGGCTGCACTTGCGCACAACATCCACTAGGTTAGCCCCTAGCAATCCACACGCGCCATCGCCGCAGGTAGCAACGCACACACGATCGGCACAGATTTTCATTCACGTTACACATGCAGCAAAAGCACACAAAACACGTTATGTCTAACCCAATGCGTCATCAAACTACTATAGAGCCCCTAGATATTATTATTAAAGTGCTTAAATTGTATTATTGTAGCACGGACGGGGGAGCGGCCCAGCCCCCAGCTTGCCTAATTCACACCTCAGCCGGCTGGGAAATCTAGGCGAGGCCGAGGGCTCTGCATGGGACTAGACCTCACCATGCCAATGTTAGCCACAATATCCTTTTCTTCTTTCCCTAACCTTACCTTGATAGCAACCCCGTTTTTTTATAACCTTCCGAATATTACATTACCTACGTTTGTGTGCAGACATTTTTTGTTTGACTGCTCACAACTAATATTTAGAAAATCACTTGGTCGTTTTTTTAATTTGTCAACTCGCCTTCATGGAAATATACGTTTTGTATCACCACCTTGCAAATATTACATGAATACTGTTTGTGTGCAGACAAATGACATTTCTATTCCTTGCGTCTTTTGCTAAACTCAAGTACATTGCAACTTATGATTTAAATTATCACCTTCCAAACATTACATTACAAAAGTTTACGTGCAGAAAATGATAATTTCTCCTCCTAGCTTCTTTCGCTAAACTCATGTACATATAAACCTGCTAATTTCATATTCACCTTGATCACTTTATAATATTACAATGTTTGTTTTAGTTTGGGCGCATATATTGCTTACTTACCTTCGCCATTATTAAGAGATGTATTTCAGTTGCAAAACCACGTGGACAGAAACCTCTTCTTTACATATGTAGCGTCAGATCACGTACGCACATGTGTAGCGCTGACCTGCAATGGCGGACAGTGCCCATCAGGGGCGGTACCTCATACTGGCGGGGAGGTCGTTACAATCCCCAGCCCAGGAGGGAGGGGGCTGCGGGGTGTTCTGGGATCCCCTGGGACCCCCACCCTTCTGGAACTCCTAAGGGAGCGTGGCCAGGAGCTGACACACTGGGGAGGTGTATAAAAGCCGGGCCTCTCCACAGGTTGAGGGCAGAGTTACGAAGACTGAAGACCAGTTAGACTAAGACCCTGGGACCTCGAGCCCGCTGCCCTTGTAAGGGCCGGGTCGAGCTTCGACCATTGGTTGGACCCGTACCTTGGCTGGGTCGGGTCAGGATAGCCTCCCTAGTCAGGACCCTGGGACCTCGAGCCCGACGTCCTTCTCAGGGCCGGGCCGAGCTGGGACCAGTGGTCAGGACCCGTACCTTAGCTGGGTCGGGTCAGATAGCCTCCCCTAGGACACGGAGAGCCGGAGGGCTGGGAGTGAACAGGGCAGTGTTTAGATCACACTAGCCCGGAGGCCATACCTCCCTAGATAGTGGGTGTTAAGGGAGTTGCTGTTAGTTAAAAATAAACATACCGTGTTGCCTCTACCTCACCGTCTCCACTACACATACTCATCTTCCTTTTATTAAATTCATGTTATTGTGCAGAACACTATTCTTTCCATTCATTGCTTCTTTTGCTAAACTCACGTACATAGAAAGCTGCCATTAAAAAAAAAGCACCTTGCAAATATTCAAACTTATTTTTGTGAACTCACACCTAATATTTTACACTACCCTTGGACATTTCTACTATTTTTTGTGTCAACTAACGTTGCTAGAACCATTCATTTTAACGAATCACCTCGCAAATATTACAATAATAATGTTTGTTTGCTGACTACTACCATTTACCTTCATCTATATTTATATATTCTAAATTGCCTCTAGGTCAAGGTGTGCATGTGAGTCCCTGTCCGTGTCTGCCACCATGTGTGTCTGTCTACGTCCGTGTGCTTGTGTGTATAAGTCGATGTGTGTGCGAGTCGATGCGTGTGTCTGCATTTTTCGCCCGGGAAATGCCGGGCACTTCCTGCTAGTGGATTATATGCTTTACAAACCGATGTATTTGTTGTCTGCGATGGTCACTGTGTAGCTGTAAGTGAAACCAGACATGTTTGTCTGATCAGAGCAAAATAAATTTTCCCATTTGTAAGTAGTACCTTTTGCTCTGGTTTGTCTTCACGTTTTGAGAAATACCTTTTGAATAAATTTGGCCAGAGGTTAGTCCCTGATAACAACGAAACAGATTTACTCAAGTTTACCTTAACATAGTCAAAATATATCGACGGACAGGCACACAGAGCTTATGCATAAGCCTTTCAAAGTGTTTAACCAGGTTATGCAGTAAAAAAGTTTATTTTTGGGGGTTAAGTGGTGTAAATATGTCTCGTTAAACCGGCCACTGCCCGACACAGCCATTGAGTAAGGGGGTTTATCACATAAACAAACGTGGCCAATTCGTTACTAACTCAGCACTAAATTAGCTGTTGTGCTGGAGCGTAAACCCACATCAGGGAAATATGGTAGTTGAATTGTAAATGTGAACTCTTTGGGTCTTTCGGTAAAGTCACGTAGGTAGAAAAAAAATAGATCACGACGTTTCGGACGCAATACAAGCGTCCGTCATCAGGCGAATAATGGTGAGAAAGCTGCTACAAGCAAGGGGTTACATAAGTGTGAGGCTAGCAAACAGAAGACTAGCAAGCGTCAGATAATCCTAGAGGGGGAGGGAGGGGCTGCCATAACGAGAGAGCGGGTGGGGATGCAATTTACAGAGGGATCGGCGGCAGGAGGAGAGAGAGGGGGTGGGGCAGAGATAAACGGTGGCAGGGAGATAGAAAAGCTGTGTTAGTGAATGTGACTCAGAGAGCCGAGAGAAGCTGCTAACATAGGCGGGCAGGAAGGGGGACATCACAGCCAGTTATGACCTAAACTGGTTAATAACGTCCTTCTAATGATTGCTCAGTTTGTACCCATCTTCTCGGTTGAAATTGTGTCCGTGTTTATATATCTGGATGGCTTCATGGACAAATCTTTGATGGTAGCCTGAAGGTTTGCAGAGTACCTTGGTCTCGGAAAAAAACTATCATGTGAGCCCACCGCGTTAAAACAGTGGTCTGCCACGGCAGAGGTGTTGGTTCTGCCGTGTTTCAAATCTGCCTTGTGTTCGCGAACACGGTCCGAGATATGGCGTTTCGTTTCCCCAATGTAACTGCTGCCGCAGACACAACTTTGTTTGTAGATACCAGGGTATTGCATGTCAGGAATCCCATCCTTCACAGATGGGATCAAATCACAGATTTTGGGTACTGTGTCGAATCGAACCTGGATCTTGTGTTTGTCCAAGATTTTGTAAATCTTTTTGGTAATACATGCTATGTATGGCAAGGTGATGTTTTTTTCTACCTACGTGACTTTACCGAAATACTCAAAGAGTATGGATTCCTGCAATCACGAAAGCTTCAAATGAAGATTGTAAATGTGTGTTGTGGGTTTTAATCTCCAACACAACCGATTAGTGGTGAACTAGTTAACTAATTGACCACGTTTTTTTCCCTCCAGATTTAGAAACATCCTTTTAGAGTATTTAGCTGCTATAAATTTCCACGTGATGATGAGTCACTTCGTGGAGCTATCATCTGAAAAATACCTACACAGCTCAATAGGCCTTACCTGGTAAAAGAGGAAGTAAAGAAATCGATTTAATGTCATTCAGTGGTTGCCCTTAGAAGGGGAGTGCAGTGTTGGGTTCCCTCCCCTCCTCAACATTTTCTTGTGGTCAGCAGATCTGCTCGACATCTTTCTATATGTCCTTGCTTTTCATAACCGGTTTAGTTTACGGTGACGGGTGTGTACAAAACGTGCGTCACCTAAAACGGGTATGCACATTGCCTCAAACATTCTTTTGTGGTGCGCCTGCTACCACAACGCTGTTTAGCAAGGAAGTTCGAGGACTGTCCTATGCGACAATGGAGCTTCGGTGATACATAAACTAAACTATTGAAGTGTTAACTATTATTTTTATTGTACCAGGTAAGACCCACTGAACTATGTATCTCTTTTGTCAGAAGCGACCTGGCTATCACAAATAATAGCTCAGCGAAGTGGCTTGTCATGTGGAAATTTATAGCAGCCAAATATTCTGAACACGTGGTGCTGTTGTTTCTGAATGTGGAGGGGAAAGCCGGAGGACCCGGAGAAAAATCCGCGCGACCATGGGGAGAAAGACACCACAAACTCAAAATATATAGGCGTCAGGGTCGGGATAGAACCCATGACCTCCTGCATACCAGGAGAGGTAGTTAAACATCTCACCTCCGTGGCACCATATGTCCAGGTCCGGACGACGTGCGACTTGTACATATGTATGTCTGTTGAACTTCTTTCGCACCACCAGACGTAGGCAACTGTGCTAATCGGAGGTGGGGGGGGAAGACAAACTAAAGACAAAAAGCTGTTTAAAAAAGTTTAAAATTTTCAAAAAAATTACTTGGGAGGGGAATCGTAGAGGTGGTGGCATTTCCACACGAGCTGCTCCTGCTGCTACCCTTGGTCTTTCTGAGTGGTGAAGGTCGTAAGTTTTGGAAGGTGCTTACGGAGCTGCCTTGGCGAGCCGTTCTCGACTGTGCAACATTGCAGACGATGAAGGAAGTTGATTTACTCCCTTAGTTTGACGAGGCGCCAAGTAATTTTTTTTCGTGAGTCGACTGCTCTCGACAAAGCTTCTTCAGTGTCGTGGAATCTGCACTTACCTAGGCAAGTATTGAGTACTCCATTGCCACTCTACACTATTTAGCTTGTCGATGGTGCGGAGGCTTTTGGTAATCAAAGGGGAGTTGTGCCACTTTCCGCAAGATGTCTAGCCTACAATCTGCTCTTGTGACCATGGTGTTTGTATGGCTGGTCCAGTTGAATTTTTTGTCAATGGTGACCACCACAATATTAAATTTTTATTTAAAGCTTTCATGACTGCATGGATTCATATTCTTGGTTCTTTCGGTAAAGTCACGTGACTTCAACACAATATTGTTAGTGGGAGACTTGGTGATGGTAATACAAGCCGCCGTGGTGGCTAGAAAATGTTAACTACCTCACCTGGTATATAAGAGCTCGTGGGTTCAATCACGAACTTGACACCTGCTGTATATTTGGCGTTTGCGCGTCTCTCTCCCCGTGGTTGTGTGGATTTTTCTCCAGGTCTTTCGCTTTTACCCTACAATTTTGAATCATCATCATCATGCGTTTTAGAGTTTTTGGATGCTATAAATCTCCACATGATGTGGATATTTATTTGGTGATAATTGTGGCCATAGCTCAGTGGGTCTTACCTGGTAAAATAAAAAATAAAAAGTTTATAGAATGCTATTGGGGAGGTGGTTAGGCATTCTCTCTTATTGGAGATGGTCATTGCCTGGCAATTTGTTACTTGCCACTTATGAGTGCAGATAGTACTTGGAGCATCATGTTCGCTATTGTGAATGTAAACAAAGTACAGAAATATTCCTTTCCCGTGAACATAATAACGTGGAATTGTCACTACTGAATCTGGACTACCAACAAATGTGAGCATTGCCCCAGGGTCGATTGAGCAGGGGACAAACAATAACCTGACTGTAGCTGTCTGTCCTCATAGGCCTTTTCAATCACAGTACAGTCTGGTTCTCCTATAATGTGGCGGTAGTAGTTGCGTTCCTGAAGAACACCATGTTATGGAGAAATCGCGATATAATAATATATAGTACAGGGGGTAAAGCACAGGCCATGATAACGCGCAATTTGATGCATAATGCAGGGCCGGACACAGCCTGAGAGGTGCGTGGTGGGTAGCGTTTAGAAGCATCATCCAGCAGCATTCCCTTGCCTTGTTGTGTGGTGATGATGATGGTGCTATGCCGAGGCAGCCACCGTTACAAACCACTTATTCCTCTTCGTGCGATGTAGTTCTGTTTGCTCGATTGCAATATATATCTGATTCGCATCTGCGTCATAAAAAAAGTGTGTTCCCTAATTACACGTCCGTCAAGAGCACCACCGCAGCGGCATTGTTAGTTGACCTCTGTCAAGTGAGATCGATCACTGACAACAGCCTCAATGCAAAACCCCACAGCCACAGCACACGCCCATGCTCTCAAATAAAACTAACTCACAACCTCGATGTGAAACCAAAAGCCCTCATACCTTCCATTTACAGTACCGAGCCCCATAATCCGATGTAGATTGCACAGTGGAGGAGAGGGATGAGGGGTGCTGCTTCACATTAGTCTACCAAGCTTAGTTGGCACGTGGAGGTTGAATTTGGCATCCGTAATGATGGCACACGGTGACCTGTAACTGGGTAGCTGCGATCTGCGAGGTGAATGTGTAGCACAGCATTTAACTTTTAATCTGATTTCAGCCACCGTATTATTTTGTTTTGGCGCCGCGATGGCTAGGAGATGTTGAGTACCTTGCCTGGTATGCAGGAGTTCGTGGGTTCAATCCTGACCCTGACACACCACACGTTTAAGGTATTTGGCTGCTTCTATACATTTCCACACAACGATATCAGCCAATTTGTTGAGTGATCATATGTGATAGCCTGGTCGCTTCTGACAAAAGAGCCACATAGCTCAGTGGGGCCTTACACCTGGTAAAATAAAAAAAGAGTCAAATAGTTAGACATTAATAGGCCGCTACGTTAAGGTCTGTGGCCTGGCCACGCGGGCCCGAGGACGTAGGCCCTCGGGCCCTGCCTCCCTCCTGCAGGCGGCGGCAGAGGGCTCCCCGAGCGCCGTTCGCAGCTTGGCCCAGAAGAGTGGCCTCGCTGCCTCATCCCGGGGCCACACCACATGGGTCTTAGTGTAGAGTAGGTGGCGCATGCGATGGTGGGCGGACAGCTCGCGGTCGGCGATGTCTTCGATGATGAGCGTGACGAGAACGTCGCGGTGCTCGCTGAAGAGGCGGTACGATGCCATCTGGATCTCCATAGAGCACCACTCACTGCGCAGGAAGCCACGGCTCACCACGCACACGGTCCTGCGGCTCTTGTAGATGGCATCGACAATGTTGTCCACAATGTAGCGGCCCGGCACGAAGTCACGGTGATGGAGGCACAGCCTGTAGGGCGGCAGGGGGCCCCCATCCTGCTCCAGGCGTGGCACAAGCTCGGACATGACCCAAGCCTCGTCGCGCGAGTTGTACGAGATGAAGGCGTCATAGTCATGTGCCAACCCATCGGCGGCACGGCGCCGCTGCTCACGGAACCAGGCGAGGAAGACGTGGAAGCCGTAGCGGATGTGCCAGCGCGCCTTCACGTGCACCAGTGTGAGCGCCACGAAGAGCGCCACGCTCGGCGTCACCGTGAAGAACAGGATCTTCTCCGCCTTCTCGCGGCACACGGCCATGTCAAAGTCTGCAAAGGGTGCGGCGGAGCCCTGCGACTCGCCCGATGAGCAGCTGAGCGAGTAGAGGCCCACCACCTGCACTTGGCTATGCAATGACCAGTTCTGGAACCACGAGTTCTCGCAGGTGCACACCACAGGGTTGCCGCTCATATCCAGGTAGTTCAGGTCACCCAAGGGCATGAGGGCCTCCTCGGTGATGCTCTCGATGGCATTGTCTACCAGGTAGAGTGTCTTGAGGTGACCCAGCGTCAGGAACTGGGCATCATCCACGGCACTCAGGCCCACGTTGCGCAGGTCCAGGATGGAGAGGTTGGTGAGCCTGTGGAAGACGCTGCGATTCATGGTCTGCAGACCGCTCCCCATGTGCTGCATCTCTAGCAGGCGCAGGCTCACCAGGTCGTCGAACGGGTGCGACGCATGGTCTGAGATCTGGTTCCCGGCCAGGTGGAGGTTCTCCAGGAGGTGGAGGCCCGCGAACAGGTTCTCCGGAATCCTCTGGATGCCGTACGGCTGTTGGGCACTCAGCTTGAGGGTGATGAGGTTGCTGAGGTTGACAAAAGGCGGGTTGTCCAGCAGCCTGGTGCTGTACGAGATCATGTTCTTCACCAGGTCCAAAATGCGGAGCGACTCCAGCCCCGCAAACATTGACGGCATCACCCAGCCTATGGAATTTTCATCTAGGTAGAGGTTCCGCAGGCCCACCAGTCCCACGAAGGTGTGCTCCTTCAGGGACGAGATCATGTTGCTACCCAGATCCAGGATCTTCAGCTTGGTCAGATTGCCAAACACCTGCCGGTGCAGGCTATTGATGCGGTTGCGCCTCAGGTTAAGCGTCTGCAGGTTCTCGAGGGCCGCAAAGGGTGACGACGCATGGAACTCGTGGATGAGGTTGTTGTCCAGGCGCAGTTCGGTCAGCTCCCTCAAGCCACAGAAGGGATTTTGGCTGATGCTGAAGATCAGGTTGCCCTTGAGGATGAGCGAGCGCAAGCTGGGCACGTGCACAAATGCTGAGTTTTGCACCAGCGTGATCTTGTTCCAGGCGAGGGAGAGCGCCTCCAGATGGGGCAGCCGCATGCATGTGTCGCACGGCTCCAGCACGTTCAGGTGGTTGTAGTCCAGCGTCAGGGAGCGCAGGCCATGGTTGGGTCCCACCAGGGAGTAGCCCTGCATGGAGCGGATGTGGTTGCGTGATAGGTCCAGGTGGCGGAGAGCGGTGCAGTTCCTGAATGCCTCCGCAGTCAGGTTGGTGATGCCATTCCTCATGAGGAACAGGGATTGAACCCTTTCCATGAGATGGGAGCTGCATAGCATCTCGAGGCTGCCATTCCTGCTGAAGCCCGACTTCTGCAGTTCTAGGGTCTGTGGCTGGGCGTTGTCGAGGTGCTGCAGCTCACGGACATCGAGGCGGTTGTCCCCCAGCAGCAGGTAGGACACACCGCTGATATTGAGGCTCTGCAGCCCCCTGACATCCTTCAGCCAATTGTGGGAGAGGTCGAGGAAGGTTATGGTGGTGAAGAAATCTGCTGGCACCAACACCGCGCTGATGGAGTTGTTGGCCAGGTGAAGCCAGCTGAGGTTCTGTGGCAGCACGGGGCCTTCGCCACTGCTTATGTTGAGCGCTTGGATAGAATTTCTGCTGAGGTCGAGGGAGTGGAGGCTCGACAGGTTGGTGACAGCCTGCACAATCGATGGGAAGTTGCACAGCGCGTTGTGCATTAGGCTAATGTTGAGGATGCTCCTGAGGGGCGCAAACAGCTCAGGCGAGAGGCGTTTCAGGAAATTATGGTCGAGCAGCAGATACCTGAGCTCGGAGAGGCCGCTGAAGGCATCCCGGTCCAGGGCCCCGATACGATTTATGGACAGGTTCAGTGTTCGAATGGAGAGGTCCTGGAAACTGCCCGCCCGGATGGTGGCGATGCGGTTGCGGTCCAGCCGCAGGAACAAGAGAGCGCTGCTCATGTTCTGGAAGAGGCCTGGTCGGAGCTCCGATATGGAGTTTTTGGACAGGTTCAGCACCTGCGGTGTATTGTGGATGTCCGATACAGCCTCCAGAACATCTTTAATGCCACCGTTCACACATACCACAGTGCCGGGGGGCTTCTCTATGCACTTCCGTAGGCTATAGCCCTGCACCGTGGGCAGCCACAGCAGGGTGGCGGCAAGCAGGAGCCACGGCACGAGGGGAATCCACTGACTGCCCTCGTGGCTGGAGCTGGCAGAGGTGAGGGCTGTGGGCTCGTAGCCACGATGGTGCTGCTGCTGCTGCTGGAGGCGGCACGCGGTGAGGCGTGGGATGCCCATTGCTTGATGACCACTCAGGACTGCGAGGTGAGAAAGGGGGGGAGTGGAGAAAGGATCGTGAGCCTCCACCGTTTATCCATATGTAGTCGATGGTCGTGTTTTTTGGCTAGATCGCATGCATATAAATGCATGTCATTACGGCCGATCAGTCAGGGTTTTGTCACGTAAAAAAGTGGTCAATTCGTTGCTAGTTCAGCACTAAACCAGTTGTTGTGTGTTGGAGAGTAAACCCACAACACACATTTACCATTTGAGTACCGTGACTTTTCGCCGGTGTGATTACAACAACAACCTGCCTCATCAGGCAATAGCCAGATTTGTGGAGAAATCCTCCTGCTGTTTCGTTCTTAAATACAGGTGGGGATAAATGTGATGTTGTCACTGGTGAGGCAATCAGGTGCCAAGATAAGAGGGGAGTTAATGTATTAATAGTCAGCACGATCTACCAAGGAAAGAAGGAGAGGACGTTTTAAAATAACTAAAGAGAGGAAGCCATTTGAACCGATATGTTTCGAGTCTAGATTTGAAGATTTGAAATGTTTTGAAAGTCCGGACCTCGAAGGGGCAAGGAGTTGAATAGTTTAGGTGCCGCATTTGCAAAGGCACCATCACCCCCAAGTGTGAAGCCTAGAACGTCGGACTTGTGAGCAATGCACAATCAAAGGATCTTAATCTTGATGGACTATATGACTGAAGGTCATGGATGGAAGGAGGAGCAAGTCTATTTAAAGCCTCGAATACCAGCAAGATAATCTTAAAATCAATACAGGTATGGACAGGGAGCCAGTGAAGGCACAGGGGCACAGGTGTGATGTGTAACTAATAAGGGTGTACCAGTTAGCAACCTGGCGGCCACATTTTGAACATACCAAAATTATTGACCTCGTGTGTATGATAGACATTCCAACCATCAATAAATAAGTTAAGAGAGATCGATTTGGATACTCGTTGGAGGTACTGATTAAAATAAACTGTGTTTTATCATTCATTTTAAGGAAGATTTGAGACATCCATGCTTTGACATGAGTCATTGACTGTACTAATAATGAAACTGCAGATATAACATGCAATCCCAACTGTAGGTAGATCCGAGTGTCATCTGCATAACAGTGATATAGCTGAGCCCTTGGTGTTGTAATGAAGCTCCAAGTGGGGCCAAATAGACAGAACAGGATGGAGCCTAATACTGATCTCTGAGGGACACAGTAAGGAACTAAGTTAATTATGGATTTACAGGTGCCCATTCTGACAAATTGCTTGCAGTATTAGAGATAATAGTTGAACCATTTCAACGTGGTGCCTGAGATCCCTATCAAGACCTCCAATTGGTTGAATAAGATATTGTGATAAATTGTGTCTAAGGCTGCATTTAGGCCAAGGACAAGGAGAGCGCTTGGATAATATTTATTAGCAGCAATTAGGAGATCATTAATTATCCTTACTGAGGCTGTTTCAGTGCTATAACCAAATGTATAATCTAGACTGAAATGGATCCAGTTATTTGAAAGCAGGTGTAGATGAAACTGTGATGTGACAGCCTGTTCAAGAATCTTAGATAGAAAAGGAAGATTTGAGATTGTGCAGAAGTTGCTAAGGACGGTTGAATCGAGACCAGGTTTCTTGAGAAGCAGTGTTACTGAAGCCATCTTAAATGCAGAAGGGACAATTCCAGTTTTTAGTGACCTGTTAAGGATATTTTGAAAGAATAGGAAAATAAAATAAAAATTCTATCTAAGGACAGGAGTCGGAAAAGAACCAAGAGGAGAAAACGTGGGATAAGGTATGTTAATTAATTAAATCAGTTCAGAGACTGAAATTTCAGAGAACCCAGCTAATACTGTGTCATTAAAAGATGGAGAAGGGAAGTCAGAAGGTAGAGGGATGACTGGGCAGATAAGTAATTGAGACCGGATGGAGCTATTTTTTCGAGAAAGAAATGTTGGAGTAAATTACAGAGAACATCAGAGTGGCTGGTCGAGTACCTTAGGTGGTTTTAAGAGCTGGTTTATGGTGTCAAATACAACTCTTGGGTTTCTGTTACTGGAAGTAATTTGGTTGCGAAGGAAGATTTTGTGAGGGAGATTGCGTCCTTCTAAGTGCAAAGTGAGCTTTTAAACATTTGATAATGTATGGTCAAATATGATTTTCTCCAGGCTAGTTTAGATTCGCGAACCACAGTTTTAAGTACACGAATTTGAGGTGAGAACCAAGGTGAGGGTTTGATGGGTGAGATGTGGCTGGTTTTAAGAGGGGTCAGGGATTCCAATATTTGGTGAGGGATGGATTTATAGGCCAAAGCTACCTTGTCCACCAGCAGTGAACTAGGCTGAGAGACAGGAGAAAGGGAAATAGACTGGGCAATACAATTAGGGGGGATAGAGTTCATGCTGCGATGTGATTAGATATTTATGAGAACCAGATAGTGATGGTGAGGGTAACTCAAAGATTATTGCAGTGATCTGAAAAGGCCTATATCAACAACAGAAAGGTTTGAAGCGGAGCACCCAATAGAGCACACTGAGTATAAGGTGTGGCCACCTGAGCAGGGCCTTGAACATGTTGTAAACACCAAATGAGTCTGAGATGGCTAAGAAATCTCTAACTCGGGTGGTAGATGGGGAGTCTACATACATGCTAAAGTCCCCACATAGTAGAATCCGGTTGAATTCATTGACAGGAGCTCAGGGAAGTCAGCAAGGAAGGTAGTTGTTGGACCAGGTGGACGGTAACGCAAGCATGATAGTAGAGGTTGCAATGTTTTTTCAACGCAGAGCCACGTGTTCAAAGGAATGGAACATAGGTAACAAAGTTGACTGGATATTTGTTATACTGCGGATGAATACAAGGCTCTACCGGGACCAGAAGATCAGGGTCTATCATGAAAAGAAAAACCTGAAGGTGTTGCTTCAATCAGTGACAAATGGTCGGAAGGTCTATGCCAGGTCTCACTGAAACACGTGAGGTCCAGGGAATTTTCTAGAATGAAATAATTATACTATTTGGTTCTTTCGGTAAAGTCACGTGGGTATAAATTAAAATATATCACGACGTTTCATCAGGTGGGAAAGCATGGTCTGCTGCTGAGGCAGACTAAGTCTGCGTGACTTTACCAAAAGAACCAAAGAGTATGGATTCCTACAGTCACGAAAGCTTCAAATCAAGATTGAAATAATTTACGAGTAGTGCCTCACTCTTTAATGAATGAATGTTTAACAAAGTGACTGAGCAAGGTCAGAAACAGGCAGATTGAGAAATGGAATTTCCTGACCAAATGGCCCACAGTGGTCCCGAAGGTGTGCAGGGTCAGTCTTGTATAGATGCTTGTGTGAGAGTGGACTGTGAGAATGTTGGTGTTATGAGATGAGTCAGATAACGGGTTAATGACCCGAGTGCGAGGTTAGGCACGGAGAGACCACGTTCTCCTGCATCCAGTTAGGGGTGCCATGGTGGCGATATGTTAACTCCCTCGCCTGGTACGCAGGAGGTCGTGGATTTGATCCTGACCCTGACGGCTGCTGTACATTTGGGGTTTGTGTGTCTTGCTTCCCATGGTCATGTAGATTTTTTTCGGGGTCCTCCGGTTTTTCCCTCCACATTTAGAATCAACATCACACGTTTAGAGTTTTGGCTGCTATACATTTCCACATGATAAGCCACTTCGTTGAGCTATCATTTGTGGCCAGGTCGCTTCTGAAAAAGAAATACTATATAGCTAAGTAGGCCTTACCTGGTAAAAAAAATAGAAATTGTTTATAGTTTTTGGAGTTTCTGAATAATCCCTGTGCTGGAAAAAAGGCACGCAACAAATTTCATAAAGTGGGAAAAACACCCAAATCGACATCTCACACTGGTGGCTTTGTTGCCCTCAAACAATTGCAGAAATTGGTTTTCCTTATAGCTGTTTCACGATCCACCCATGGCTTGTCAATTTGTTATGGTCTTGAATCCCCCCTCTTACTCCATCCTTTACTTTCCACCCTTCACTCTGTCCTTTAACTTCCATAATAGAGGTTTTTTGGGTTAGATCGCGTACATCTCTTCCTCTTATTTACATTCTGCTTCCTTTCATTTAACTTGCTTTTTATATAATTTGAACTGTTTAGATAACAACAACTCGAGGTGATTGTGTTGGTCACCATGATGATGTGTACCATTGGTTCCATGCATTCCTGAAGTTACGGGGGCTAGGAGATTTAACTACCTCACGGGGTACACAGGTCGTGGATTCGATCCCGATCCTGACGACTGCTGTTTATTTGGAGTGGACGCCTCTCTCTCCCCGTGGTTACGTGGATTTTTCTCCAGGTACTCTGGGTTTCCCCCCCCTCCCCATTTAGAATCAACATCACACATTTAGGAGTAGTTGGCTGCTGTAAATTTCCACGTGATGATGATTTGTAGAGTTGAGCTATCATTTGTGATGGCCAGGTCGCTTCTGGTAAAGCGCTCGACGCAGCTCGGTGGACCTTACCTGGCAAAATAAAAAAAAATGCTCTTATAGTTTTTAGTACTATATGGTTCAAAGTTTGGCTTGTATGTATGTGCATATCCTAATGTTTAACCAACTTACGCCATTTCCAGATGTAAGTTTGTTCGGTACTCAGTATTCCATCGTCACCTGAGTTATATAACTATAAACTAACTAAACTGTGATTTGAAGCTTTCGTGACTGCAGGCATTACTCTTTGGTTCTTTCGGTAAAGTCACGTAGAAAGAAAAAAAATCATAGAATACGACGTTTCGATTGCAATACAGGCAACCGTCATCAGGTGTGAATGCAAGCTCGGAGAGAGACACACATACAGAGAGAGAGAGACACAGACACGGAGAGAGACACATACACAGAGAGAGACACACACACAGAGAGAGAGAGACAAACACACAGAGAGACACACAGCGAGAGACACACAAAGAGGAGAGACAGATAGAGAGACACACACGCAGAGAGACACACATGCAGAGAGACACACACGCAGAAAGACACACACAGAGACAGAGAAACAATGCCTCTGTGACGGGGTATTAAATAGAGAAAGAGGGGGGTGGGCAGATAAATTAACATGTCAATGAGAGCGGGAGGGAGAGAGAAATTGGAAGTTTGAGAAAACAAACATAGTAGAAATGTAATGCAATGCAACACAGAGAGTCGGCTAACACAACAGTTAACACTTTACCTGGTTAATGTGGGCTCCACACGGTGCGAAAGAAGTTCAACATACATACGTACATATAATAATAACTAATTCGTAAAGCGCACAATTTTCACTTGTCCGACGGCAGCGTAGCCCAGCTGAGAGACCCGCTCAGTAAGAGCCAAATGAATGTTTTTTTGATAAGGCGCTTAAAGGCGGGTAAAGGGCAGAGGTCGCAATCGGGTACCCGATACCCGTACCCTACCCGATACCCGGCTACCCGTACCCGGCCGGGTATCGGGTACCCGTTTGCGACCCTGGTGCGGACGGGTACGGGTGCGGGTAAGGAATCAAAACCCGTTTGCGACCTCTGGTAAAGGGTCAGTGTTGCGAATGTGGAGGGGGGTGGCGGCGGCGGCGTTCCAGGTGGAGGAGGAGGGGCCAACAAGGAAGAACAGTGCCACAAGGGTCCTGAACTCGGTGTCGAGAGGAAGTCCTGAGTAGAGCTGCGGGAGAGTTCTGGTGGTGGTTTGGGAGCAGGGCGTCAGGAGATCCTAGAGCAGGGATGGGGAACCTTTTTTTCTGCCAAGGGCCATCTGGATATTTATAACATCATTCGCGGGCCATACAAAATTATGAACTTAAAAATTTGACTGTTATATTTGGTCAAACATTTAATTAACTCACCCTTAATGTGATGGCTGTAACGGCTTCTCTTTGGTGAGGCGTGTGATGTTAGCTGGTATTGATGATGTTGCTACTCGCAACTGCTTTTCCAGGTTTGCTCCTAGATTTATTGAATTTCTAGTCCCGCCTGCGGTGGCCTTGGCAGGGCCAGACCAAATGATTTCGCGGGCCTTACACGGCCCGCGGGCCGGACGTTCCCCACCCCTGTACTAGAGGTACGGAGGGTTAATAGTAATCATCATAATGACGATCACTATTAGCATCATCGTAAATTGCTGTTTCTGTCACGACCAATACCAGCACCATCGTCATCACGAACAGAAGCAAGCATCTCGATCACGATTCGGAATCATCATTACCACGACCATTGCCATCACTTCCGTAAAATCAGCACCAGCATCCTCGCCATCCATTATATCATCATCGCCACTATCATTGCTATCATTACCACCATCAAGTTCATGACCATAATATCCGCTGCAATAAAGGTGACCCGGATCATAAAGATGACCAAGCATCTCTCTTCACTACTCAACCCAAGCTATAAATACTCTGATGCTTGCGTTGCCTTTGTACTGTTTGCCTTGTGGCACTGTTCTCTGGTCTATCACAGGCAGTGAAACAAGGCTAAAAAAAGGAGGACGTCTGGTGTAGGCCAATCAGTTTCAAAGGCAATGTGTGCATTATTATCAGAGCATGTTTGATCGCATATTTTGCCACAAGTGCGGTTAATGCAGTACTAGATTCCTTTCAAGAAAGGATCTATTTGGTGTTTAAACATCTTAACACCTGTTTTATTGCCAGAAAGTTTTCCTTTCGATGATTTTTTGTTGTTGAATTCGCACTTTTGATGTTGGTCGGATTCTTGCATCTTTACAAAGCAATAAAGTAATGATTAGTTACAATTTTAATAATAATAAGACTTTAATTATTTTTTTGTTTAATTGCGCTGAAAATTCACGTATCCTAGCCAGCGTTACACGGAGCGGACAGTGGCAGGCGTTAGGCACATATGAACCTTATGGGGTTAATTCTAGATTTGAAGCTTTCATGACTGCAAGGATTCATATTCTTAGGTTTTTTCGGTAAAGTCACGTAGGTAAAATTTTTTAAATTAAAACTTATAATAATTTTAATGTTTTACTTATGGGGTTACCCAGGGCGACCAAATAATACTAAATGGCCGAGGCAATTAAATATTTTATTTCTGGGACACTACTTTTCCCTGGAGTGTACTTAACTCCGCCACTGGGGTACCAATTCCAAATCAGTGCCACTCCGCGATGTCGAAACGCCAAACATTAGCGTAAAAAAAAACGATTATCGAAAAATAATACTTTGAATAAGTGCATCGTGTACAGCTCGTCGAGATGAGTCGATTGTCGCATCGCCGACCATCAACATGACTGCATCACGGATATTATGCGAGAGCCGGGGTTCTATGGTACCCCGAGGTACAGCCATAAGGTTCATATCACAAAAACTACACGTCTAAATAAGGCAGGAACAATGTGACACGGGATTCGTATGGATAAGCGTACCGTGTGCTCTTAGTGACAGTGCCATAACGCCGATAATCCTTACTCTAAGCCAGCTTACCATCTTGATTTGAAGCTTTCGTGACTGCAGGAATCTATACTCTTTGGTTCTTTCGGTAAAGTCACATGGGTATAAAATAAATCACGACGTTTCGGGAGCATGCGTTTCCTCCTCATTCCATCACCAGGGGCTTTCCCACCTGATGATGGACGCTTGTGTAGCGCCCGAAACGTCGTGATTTATTTTATTTTATACCTACGTGACTTTACCGAAAGAACCAAAGAGTACAGCTTACCACCGTTCACCGTGCATATCCGGTGATAAAATTAAGCCTAGGTCATCACCATAACCACCACCAATCCTCATCATGGTCGTGTCACATACCTGGTTGTGATCGTCTCGTCCAGTTGCCAAATGTTTCTTCACACCGACCCGTCACGAGTGCCTGCCACACTCGCTAGACGCGTGCAAGCGTCTGTTTGTGCGCGTGTGGTTAGATAAGATAGAGAGAGGGGCGAGAGGGAGGGGAGAGAGAGAGAGGAGTTTTAGAGACAATGCAGAGGGCTCGCGTGGAGGCGGCGTGAACTGGGTCGCCCTCCCTGCACCACCCACCTCGAGATGTGTCCAGACCGGTTCGTGAGCGCCACGCGTGCGGACGAGTCACGGCGAGGAACTCTGCGATGCACGTACAGTAGCGGGTTGTACATGACACGGGAGGAGGAGAATGAGGAGGAAACGCAGGCTGGCCCACGTCATAGCACGCATTCCCCCCCCCCCCGCCGCAATCGGATACAAAATAAAAAAAATGCCCTGTTAAGGGCCGTCCATAAATGATGTCACGCGATTTTGAACTATTTTTGACCCCCCCCCCCTTCGTCACACGACGTCACAAAAAGTCAGACCCCCCCCAAATAAAACATGCGTCAAATCGCTTTAAACTATTGTCATTGTAGTGCGTATTTAATGTGGCGCTGCACTCTGATGTTGTAGGAGAAAACATTTATTAAACAGTATATTTAATTAAGTAGAACGCGTTGTCTATATTTATTTAAAGTTGCGTATTTTGATGTGACGTCACATTATTCAAACGCCCCCCCCTCGTCACGCATCGTCACAAATGTCTGACCACCCCCCCACTAGGTGCGTGACGTCATTTATGGACGGCCCCCTAGTAGTTTTCACCTGGTAAAATTAAAGTAATACAATTCTCACCTGATGATGATTGCTTGTGTTGCAATCGAAACATCGTGAGCATTTTATTGTTTTATTTTTGTTATATTATTATTTTCCTTCTACGTGACTTTACCGAAATAACCAATAATACGTTCTACTTAATTAAATTTATAATGAAAGACTTCGTCAGGCACTGTTGGTCCCCGTTGGTCTTTTATTTAGTTTCCTCTTCGCACCCCGCTGGTCCTGACCGCAGACCAGCGTCTCCTCGCGCGCTCCCTCGTCAGCTCCTCTGCTCTTCCTCGCACCCCACTGGTCCTGACAGCAGACCAGCGTCTCCTCACGCGGGCCCACGCGCGTTCCTCCAATAGCTCCTCCACTTCCTCACTCCGCACACCGCTGGCCGACGGCGTGCCGAAGGTCCTTCAGCCACGTGGCCGATGGCGCGGATCTCCTCCAGCCAGCCAACGTGGCTCAGCCTCTTTACTCCCCAACTGACCCCGATCCCTTCCGGGCTCCCACCTATATCCTCTTTACCACGTGATCCTGACTCCTCCCCTTCCGGATCGTCAGATTCGGCCTTCCCATACTGCCCTGCTGGCTCCACCCCCATTCACCTCGCTTCCAATTGGACCCGAGGTGAACGGCGGCCCCTCCCACACGCCCCCCATACTGGGCTCCGCCCCCCAATACCCCAGGCCGTGTGATTGGGCCAAAGCCCAGCAGCAAACCCCGTTAACGCTCGCATTACATATTTATTGACATTATTAAAACAAGTTTACGATTGAGAATCAAAGGGGTGCAAGGCTGCAGTAAAGGTTAAAAAGCACTGATCCAGGCAATATTATCATGACACGCATAATCACACGCGTACCATTGCATTCGCGCTGACGTCACGGCGGCGGCTGTGCCAGGCGAGGTGCAGGAGGCAGTCACGGGACAGATTCAGGTGGTGCCATTGGTAGACTGCTGTACCAGACTAGGTGCAGGAGGCGTTCACGGGACAGACCTAGGTGGTGCCATGGGTTGACCGCTGTGCCAGGCTAGGTGTAGGAGGAGTTCACGGGACAGCCCCAGGTGGTGCCATGGGTTGACTGCTGTTCCAGGCTAGGTACAGGAGGAGGTCACGGGACAGACCCAGGTGGTGTCATGGGTTGACTGCTGTGCCAGGCTAGGTGCAGGACGATGTTATGGGGACAGACGTGGGTGGTTCATGGGTTGGCTGCTGTGCTAGGCTAGGTGCAGGTGGAGGTAATGGGACCGACCCAGGTGGTACCATTGTTGAATTGCTGTGCCAGGCTATGTGCAGGAGGTGGTCATGGGGACAGACCCAGGTGATGCGATGGGTTGACTGCTGTGCCAGTCTAGGTGCAGGAGGAGGTCACGGGGACAGACCCAGGTGGTTCCATGGTTTGACTGATGTGCCAGGCTATGTGCAGGAGGTAGTCATGGGGACAGACCCAGGTGATGCGATGGGTTGACTGCTGTGCCAGGCTAGGTGCAGGAGGAGGTTATGGGACAGACCCAGGTGGTGCCATGGGTTGACTACTGTGCCAGGCTAGAGGTAGGAGCAGCTCACGGGACAGACTCCGGTGGTGCCATGGGTTAACTGCTGCACCAGGGTAGGTGCAGGAGGCGGTCACGGGACAGACCCAGGTGGTGTCATGGGTTGACTGCTGTGCCAGGCTAGGTGCAGGACGATGTTATGGGGACAGACGCGGGTGGTACATGGGTTGACTGCTGTGCTAGGCTAGGTGCAGGTGGAGCTCACGGGACAGACCCAGGTGGTGCCATGGGTTGACTACTGTCCCAGGCTAGGTGTAGGAGGAGGAGGTCACGGGACAGACCCAGGTGGTGCCATGGGTCAACTGCTGTGCCAGGCTAGGTGCAACAGGAGGTCACGGGGACAGACCCAGGTGGTTCCATAGGTTAAATGCTGTGCCAGGCTAGGTGTAGGAGGAGGTGATCACGGGACACACCCAGCAGGTGCCATGTGTTGACTGCTGTGCCAGGCGAGGTGTAGGAGTTCACGGGGCAGACCCAGGTGGTACTATGGGTTGACTGCTGTTCCAGGCTAGGTGTAGGAGGAGGTGATCACGGGACACAACCAGCAGGTGCCATGTGTTGACTGCTGTGCCAGGCGAGGTGTAGGAGGAAGTCACGGGACAGATCCCGGTGGCACCATGGATTGACTGCTCTGCAAGGCTAGGTGCAGAAGGAGGTCACGGGACAAACCCAGGTGGTGCTATGGGGTTGACTGTCTGGGCAGATGCACCAGCTGTGCCCTCTAATGTGCCAACTGACTGTGTTTTAGCCACTCGAGAATTGCATCAGAAATTATTCAACAACTTAAAAAAAACTATGCAAATGTATTCATATTTTACGAGATAAGGCCCCACTGAGCTATATAGCTTCCTTTTCAGACGCGACCTGGCCACAATTTATAGCTCAACGACGTGGGCTCTTATGATCATCATGTGGGAATTTATAGCAGTACGCCAAATACTCTAAACGCGTGACGTTGATTATGAATGTGGAGGGAAAGACCGAAGGACCCGGAGACCATGAGGAGAGAGACACGCAGACTCCAAATATAGAGCAGGCGTCAGGATCGGGAATCGACCACACGACCTCCTGTATACCAGGCGAGGTAGCAAACATCTTCTACCCACCGTGGCGCAGCAACAACAACATACGCAGCCACCATTAAGTGGCGCTAACGTGACCACGGCTTTTGTGCCAGTCTAGGTGCATCCTAATGGCACGTATAATTGCAACACACAAGCAATGCAATACATTACGCTACACTCACAGCCACACACGAGATACCAAGATCTCCCTCCTCTGTAGCTTGATTAGACTATTGGGTACAAGTGCTGTTTGGCGAGTAGCACCTTATGAAAGCCAGCACTGTGGAACACGAGAGGGGTGGGGTGACCAACACAATGCCCGGCCACCTTTGTCTCCCGATTTATGATGTTTACACACCGCAACCAGATAATCTTAGAAGGTTCAGTCGATCTATGGGAGGTCCAGGGCCGGTTCAAACATTTTGCCGTGAGCGCAAATCGAATTCGGGTCGCCCGGTTTGTAGCGCTTTGAACTAACCACTGCGCCACTGCTGCCCCACACTCATGAACACACGACTTTCCAGTAGACCCATAGACAAAGAATGATTTTAATACTGTACTCACACGTAGCATTAAACTGCACTCACGATCACACACTGCATTATGTTGGACTCACCTATCTCACCTGTCTCACCTCCCTAACCTGCCCCACCTCCCACACCTATCTCACCTTCCTCACCTGTCTCACCTCCCTCACATAATTTATTTAGAACTGCTTGTTGTTGCTCTGTTTAGCTTGTTGTCCTTCCCCCGCACCTCTGATTAGCTACGTTTGGCTACGTACGGCGCGAAAGAAGTTCAACATACATACATGCATACGTTTCACCTCCCTCACTTATCCCACCTATTCATGCCACCCCGACCTTTCTCTCCTCCCTCACATCCTTGGGGGAGGGGAGGATTTGGGGGCGTGAGACCTCGCTGGAAATCATCAGATTTCACTCATGGACTCGTGTTCAGTTTTGGAGATAAAAAAAAATCCACATTCCTATGAGGTGGAGCCAGTCCCCCCTTGAAAATGACTGCTGTTGACATACAAGATCTTGCCTTCTACGCCGGGCAAGTCGCTTGCGATTAAAAACAGTTGTGAATTAATGCGCAACAAACAATCCATCATACGGTTGATCGTCGATTATCCGCCACATTATCCGGCAGCCTCGGGCCGAACCGGCGATATCGGCAAAACCGCTTCAAAGGAGTACGGCGATTGGCACCACATCTGTGGGACGAAAAAAGTAGCTCTGTGCAACCAGCTCGCCCTATCCTCCCAGTGATCGTAATGAGCGGACAGGCCAGTTAATAAAGTCTACAATCATAGACGAGTTCTGAGACGATGAATGGATCCTCTGTGTTGTGTTCTTCCCAACTGGTGAGGATCGAGTGACTCCACTACCGAGGGACACCAGAGGGTTGCGGAACAGCAACTCTTAATTTCAGTGTTCTTCTGAGGAGCATTCATACATCTGTAATGATGACCAGATGCACACCAATCGACTAAACGTCACACAACACCTCACTGCTCAATCCCTATACAGCGTCCATCACCCCGGAAGAATGGAGGTTCATTGCCATCAGATTGCACAACCAAACGAATCCCAAATAAATTAAAAGGTAATGACTGGTTACCCACCGATGTTTTAAGATTACCCAGCACACTTGTATCATGAGTCTTGGCATGTGACTGCAGCTTGCATGCTTACCGATTGGCCAATTAGGTGTGCGAACTGAGTAATTAGGTCGCCAAGCTCATTCCGAACCTGACCCTCACAGTGTGACCTTGTTGGGT